TCAAAGTACAAATAAGTAGGTATTTAAGTAATTGGAGAAACATCACACTGTTGCTATTGGTCGAGTCTATTAGAAGAGTCGCTCTGATACGTAACACTAAGAGTTGAGGCTGTTTTTAATTATGTTTGTGTTACGTACCTTTTGTTGTTTTAAATTTTTGTTTGTACTACAAGTGGCATGGATGACCTTCTTGAGGCTTTGGTGCCATTAAAATTATTTTCCGTTGCATTGAGAATTATGTTTTTATATATGTATGAGGTGATTTTTTAGACTTCAAAGTTTGGAGGATGTGACATCCTAATTGTATTATTTTTTTTTGTACTTAGTTTATAATTATTGTAATGGAAAATATGGTGTTACATCTTTGACTTTGGCGAATTGCAAAAGAATAATTTATGGTAAAGAGAAATCTTTCCTATGTTTAATGTATTCATGGAACTGTAATGTGTAACCCTCCCATAAGGTACAATGTATACTGTTGTTACTACATACATACAAATCAAGAAAGTTAAAAAAAATTAAAACAACATGACAAAGAAAATCAAATTATAATGGTGCATGTTTGTTATAGGCACACCTAAATCCTTCAACACCAAATTTATTTGTTGTTTTTGGCTCCCACTTTGTATTTTAGTGTAACCGATGTCGGAAACATTCCAATAACATTTGAGAAACAAAATTAATGTTATAACAATGAGTGATTTACTGAATGAAATTAAATGCAAAATAATCTACAAAATCAGACATCTTTGCACAGACTTATTAAAACATCCCTTTTCCAAATATAATAACAGTAAAAGGTGTGAACTTTAGGGCTTTAGGAGGTATGTCGTGTTAGTTTTTTTTACATACAGAAGTGCCACTAGTGAAGACCAAGAAAAATTTGTGGTCAGAAGACTTAAACAACCGTTCATTCAACGATACTTAAAAATTTGTAATTGCATAAGTGTTATTAACGACTAACACATAATCAAATGCTTATTTAAACATAGTTGAAACTTTGATATGAATATCAAACCCTTGAAAGGGGAAGTATGTAATAAATTTGTATCAGTTAGTAGCACAGAAACACATGTATGTATAAACTAGAGTTATGAAAACTGCGTTTAGAAATTCTAACCAAACATCCATTGAAGAGTTACTTATCAGTTTTTACCAGGAATTTTGATAGAAGACGTCATAGACATATTTTAACCATAAAATTTTATATATTATAGAAAAAAAAACCTCCAAAGAATGGTAGGTGAGTTGAAAGAATAAGTGGTATCAAGACACCATTGTGGTATAAAAAATGTATGTTATGTTATGAATATCAGACCCCTCAAATGACGGTAGTTATTTTATGAAAGAAGACATGATATATTTATTTTAACCCTACATTTTAGAGATAACAATATAACAATAACTCCAAAGGATGGTACTTTTTTTTGAAATCATATGCATCAAACATACAAACATGATAGATTGAAAACTCTTGAAAACCAAAAAGATCTAAATCCATAAATGGAAAGATGTTAAAAATATGAAAAATGCTTATCCTTTGACACTGAGTGGTGAAGATTGTTTAAAAAAACTGATCTCTTTATCAATCACAATTATCTCAAAGTGCTCATTATTCTTTGAGACCATAGTTCATTTGTGATGGATTCTAACAATAATATTCCACATCTCTTTACTATCATTAATGTCCTTCACCAGCTCAAACGGTCTTGCCATGTTGTTGTCGAAAAACAGAAAAAAATTGATAGGAGTTCCAACGTTAGGGTTTGGTGGTAGAAGAAAAGATGGATCAATGAAGAAAGTGAAGAGAGATATGAAACCAAAAATGCGTTTGAAGAATAGTAAGAGTAACATGAGGACAAAATGGGTAGTGTAAAAAACAGACAATAAACAATAACTCCTTCAAAATGATAAAATATTATGCAGTCTGCCATGAATAAAAATTGCTTTCGGTTGGATTTCCATTACCAGTTTAAGTAACTGTTTGGCCAAAAGACAAAGTTGAAGGAAATGTTGTGTTTGTTTTCCCAAATAAATACAAGCAATCAACATAATTGATAAACTACAAACTAAATAGTCATTGTGTTTGAATTGGATGACCAAACCGGATAAGATGAATTAATGACATGAATTGCCACAAAATTGATGACGTGTGAAGAAAAGAACAAAGGTTAAAATGGTGTTATCTAGAACAACCAACTTTCTTATATTAGATTATTATAAATTAATTTAATAGTTAATTATTTTTTAATTTTTTTTTTCTTTTCCTGAAAAAAGTTGTTACACAATTATTATAAATAAAAAATATTCTTTAATTAATTTACTAATTAATAAATAGTAATAAGAAAATTAAATAAATAGTAATAAATAAATTAAATAAATAGTAAATCATTAAAAAAATCCACTAGTTGGTTACTAACATTTCTCAACAACTTCTCTCTCATATTTATTTTTATCTAAAATATAGTTTAATTTAATTAATTAATTATTTTATTTATTTTTTAGCTATTTTAAACCAATTTTCCAAATCATAAAACCACAAACCACGTTCTTTTATTAATTTATTAAATATTAATAAATTTAAATCACAAACCACTTTGTTCATCAATAATCTTAAGAAAAAACTTAAGAATTCGGTTGGTGAATATGATAGAAACATGATAAGATATGATATAAACAACATAAAATTTATTGTATTATGTGTTTATAAATTAATAAAAAAATTAATAATTTTATATAGTTTTAAAAAAAAGCCATTGACTTTCATTTTTTTTGAAAAGATTATAAATTCTAATATATATATATATATATATATATATATATATATATATATATATATATATATATATATATATATATATATATATATATATATATATATATATATATATATATATATATATATATATATATATATATATATATATATGTGTGTGTGTGTTGACCGAAGGTAGAACATATCTAAGTTCTCATGGGTCTTATGAGTTATGTTTCCAAACAGATTTGTCCATCCGTAATGGAGATAACATTGGTGGAAATATAGGCCGATACGTCTCTAAATTGTGTTTCAATGACGGATAAGGCGGTCAAGCTACCTGCGCCTGTCTGGCCCGACCGCGATTTTATATGTAGACGTGAAAGCTCTATCACTAGAAGAATTCATTCTATCCTATCTTATATATATATATATATATTAGATAAGAAAAATAAAAATATGTATATATAACATATAAATAACAAAACTAAGAAAATATATTTAATTTGATAAAAAAATAGAATTAATATTCATATTTTAAAAACTATACTAACTATTTTATTTTTAATACTTCTAATTTATTAGTTTTAATTTTTTATATGATATAAATTTAAAAAATTACCTTTTCGACAAAATTATACATATTTTATTTATTATTATTTTTTAATTGAATATCAAATTAATATTTATTTATATTTTACCATATTTAATTTTTTATTTTAAATTATATTCTATAAAAATAGATTTGTAAATTATTTTCTTATCTTGTCCTACCCGATTCTAACTCAGTTGATATTCAAGATAAAATTGAAATAGTAAGATATGACAAGTTTTAGAATTAACTTATCATATTGTGTCATCAAACATTAGAATGAAATAGAATATGATACATATGATATCAAGTCTCTTATCCTACACACCAAACTAACCATAATAATTTCGTTACAATCCTTTCTTATTTTTATTTGTCTTAAATTATTTATATCTTTAAAATATCAATTAATATTCATTATTATTTTTATTAATTTTTCTTTATTTATTGTAATTTAAATTATGTAACTATTCTACTGTTTATTATTAATAAAATTATTTTAGTAAATAATATCCATTTCATTCAAATCAATACAATCAATTATTATTTTTTTAATATTTAGAAGATAAATGGAGCGAGTAATTAATTTTATTAATTGTTATTGGAAATCATTGTTTTCTACTTTTTTAGCTATATGAAAACCGTTCGTACAACAATATTTTCTTCCTTTTTAAAGTTTTTTTTTGTTTGTTAATTTTTTGTTATATTTATTTTTGTAGCTACATTTTTTTGTCATATATACACATCTAAAACCCTATTTCAAATTATAATTGAATCGGATAATTATAACCGCTCACGCCAACATTAGTGGCTCAAGTTCTTATTTTCTTTGATCACGTAAGTGTTTCTGGTGCTCGATTGATTTTACTTTACTTTGTTTATTGTTTTAGGGTTCGACTTGGGGCAAGATTTCTTATGGTTTTCTTGGATTTCTGTTGCAATGTGTGCTAAGAGATTCCGAAATTTGTGATTACGTTCTGATTAGGTTTAATTTATTTATTTTTTCAAATTATTATCGGTGTGGCTGTGTCAGTGTCGGTATTATTCCGAAATTTGTGATTACGTTCTGATTAGGTTTAATTTATTTATTTTTTCAAATTATTATCGGTGTCGCTGTGTCAGTGACAGTATTATTCCGAAATTTGTGATTACGTTCTGATTAGGTTTAGTTTATTTATTTTTTCAAATTATTATCGGTGTCGCTGTGTTAGTGTTGGTATTATTCCGAAATTTGTGATTACGTTCTGATTAGGTTTAATTTATTTATTTTTTCAAATTATTATAGTGGCGGTATTATTCCGAAATTTGTGATTACATTCTGATTAGGTTTAATTTATTTATTTTTTCAAATTATTATCGGTGTCGCTATGTCAGTGTCGGTATTATTCCGAAATTTGTGATTACGTTCTGATTAGGTTTAATTTATTTATTTTTTCAAATTATTATCGGTGTCGCTGTGTCAGTGTCGGTATTATTTTCAGGTGTTAGTGCTTCATAGATTATTTTGAAAAATTGTGATAGTAGGGTTTGCTGTTTGTTTGATCAGTGTTTGCTTAGTGTTTTATTTTGGTTTAGTGTGGATGTTGTTATAAATGTTGTTAGTTTCTATGGTTTATTTGTACTCAAATGTTTACTTTTTGTGCAGCCTGAATCATGGTTAGGAAGAGGAGAACCAATGGACCTGGTGGTGAAAGCTCTGATGGTCAACACCCTGCGGAGAGGAGTGTCCCCCCTCAACCACAGGCTGCTGCATCTGGAGGGGGAGGACCCCAAGGAGGGCGAGGCTGGGGTCCCCAAGGTGGACGTGGGGGTTATGGAGGTGGGCGCGGTGGTCGTGGGATGCCCCAACAACAATATGGTGCCCCTCCTGAGTATCAAGGAAGAGGTAGGGGAGGACAGTATGGTGCCCCCTCTGATTATCAAGGAAGGGGTAGAGGAGGACCTCCCCAGCCCCAACAGCAGTATGGTGCCCCCTCTGATTATCAAGGCAGAGGCAGGGGAGGACCTCCCCAGCCCCAACAGCAGTATGGTGCCCCCTCTGATTATCAAGGCAGAGGCAGGGGAGGACCTCCCCAGCCCCAACAGCAGTATGGTGGCCCACCTGAGTATCAAGGCAGAGGCAGGGGAGGGCCTTCTCAGCAAGGAGGTCGTGGATATGGCGGTGGCCGAGGTGGATATGGTGGTGGCCATGATACAGTTCCTTCTTATGGAGGCCCCGCCAGGCCACCAGCACCCGAGCTGCACCAAGCTACCTCAGTTCCTTCTGTGCCATATCCAGTTGCGGTGTCTCCTCCACCTGCACCGAGTGAGGCAAGTTCATCTTCGCATCCACTACAAGTGTCTGAAGTGGAACAGGATCTGGGACAGATGACAATTCATTCTGAAGAGACTCCCGCACCTCCGCCTGCAAGTAAATCATCACTGAGGTTTCCCCTTCGACCTGGAATAGGGAAAAATGGTAAGAAATGTGTTGTTAGGGCGAACCACTTCTTTGCTGAGTTGCCAAAGAAAGACCTGCATCAGTATGATGTATGTTCCACTTTTAACTTGTATTACTATTTTCTTATCTCTTCATTTAATTTAATACTATTTGCTTGTGTTGTTGCTCTTGGTTACTTAGGTGACAATTACTCCGGAAGTGACTTCTAGAGGTGTGAACCGTGCTGTTATGGCGCAGCTTGTGAGATTGTATCGGGATTCTCACCTGGGAAAGAGACTTCCGGCTTATGATGGCCGTAAGAGCCTCTATACTGCAGGTCCACTTCCTTTTATATCAAAGGACTTTAGAATCACCCTGGTTGATGAAGATGACGGATCAGCAGGGAAGAGGTTTGCTTCATGTGTATTATCACCTGTTTTTTTATTTTTTATTTATTTTTCTTGTTTAAATTGTGTCTAATTATTTTATTTTAATTTTAATTGATTAATTAATTTTTATACAGGCGGGACAGGGAGTTTAAAGTTGTTATTAAACTTGCTTCACGTGCTGACCTTCACCACCTGGGTCTCTTTTTGGAGGGGAGGCAAACTGATGCGCCTCAGGAAGCTCTGCAGGTTCTTGACATTGTTCTCCGGGAGCTTCCTACTAGCAGGTTCTTGATTTGGCATTTTTATTTTTGTTTTGAATACATTTTTTCACCCTGTCTATGTCTGCCGATGCTAATTACACTCGAAATGGCGTAGGTATTGTCCAGTGGGAAGATCATTTTATTCCCCTCATCTAGGTAGAAGGCACCCTTTAGGTGAGGGGTTGGAAAGTTGGCGAGGATTTTATCAAAGTATTCGTCCTACTCAAATGGGACTGTCTCTGAACATTGGTGCGTTGTAGCTTGTATGCCTTGTACTTTTAACCATTGGTTCTCTATTCTATTAGTTTGCTTCACCATTTTTGCATTTGAATCAATTTGCTGATTTATCGTTAATTTTTTATAACGCAGATATGTCTTCAACTGCATTTATTGAGCCACTTCCTGTGATAGATTTCGTTTCCCACTTGCTGAGTAGGGAAGTCTCATCCAGGCCTCTGTCTGATGCTGAACGGGTTAAGGTCAGATTTGTTAATGCCCTCTATCTATTATAATTTTTGTCTATTGTTATTTTAAAACTCTTCACGACTCTTCATGATGTCGGTGAACATCACGAGCTTTACAAGCGGCATTGCCCTTCTTCACTCACGTGATATTGCTGGATCAGGATTTTGCCCATTGTTCAAGATTCCCCACTGCTGCCCCTGTGGGATGTTGTTGATCATCCGAAAAGACCAGCTAAGCATCATTGGCTTGGGCAGCCTTTACCTGACCAACTACCTTATACTACACAGGCTCATTAAACAGCGCTTTTTAGCTTTCTTTAGGATTGATCCGAACTGTTTGCAGATTCTCACTCATTAAGCACCCTTTATCTATTTTTATTTTAAAACTCTTCATGATTTCAGTGAACATATGATTAAATTGCTAACATAACTGCTGTGAATCAAAGTATGCAAGCCCCTTTGATTTTGTTACTGCGTCCCTAGTTTATATGTAGTTGGCAACGCAAAAATCATTCAATTTTATTAGTTTAGCCTATCTCTAAGATGTTTTACTCCACAGCATGGCTCTCTAGAAAAAATGAGTCATTTCTGCATTATTGCTCTCTAGAAAAAAATAAGAATGATTATTGTATCAAGTCCCAAATTGAATACTTCTCTATATTTCTAATGACAGATAAAAAAAGCACTCCGTGGTATCAAAGTTGAAGTAACACATCGTGGCAACATGAGGAGAAAATATCGTATTTCTGGTTTGACTACACAAGCTACCAGAGAGCTGACGTGAGTAGAAGAAGTAATAAGTATTTTCCACATGCAGTATATAAATCTTTTGCTGAATTTTATTTTTTAATTTTTCAATTATTGTAGATTCCCTGTGGATGAGATGGGGACTATGAAGTCTGTTGTGGAGTATTTCTTTGAGACATATGGTTTTGTCATTCAACATCCTCATTTGCCTTGTTTGCAAGTGGGCAACCCTCAGAGACCAAACTACCTTCCAATCGAGGTAAATGTCCGCATAAATTCTCTCCTTTTTGCTATTGTATTGTCATGCCTGTCTACGTGCTGCGTATGGTAATAGTACATGTGTGATGTAGGTCTGCAAAATTGTCGAGGGGCAAAGGTACTCAAAACGATTGAATGAGCGACAAATTACCGCCCTGCTCAAAGTCACGTGCCAACGTCCACTAGATAGGGAACGTGACATCGCGCAGGTCAGTAGAACGTTATTGCATTGGTTCTTTAATGCATGTTGTTATGTTCGAAGTAGGTTTGGCATAACTGCTGTCCATTAGGATTTCTTGTTTTGAGATGAATGTTTAGTGTTGCTGTTATTCTGTAATTAATGCATCATCTGGTTGTTTTTTCAGACAGTACAACATAATGCCTATCATGAAGATCCTTATGCTAAAGAGTTTGGAATCAAAATCAGTGATAGGCTCGCTCAAGTTGAAGCTCGCATCCTTCCTGCGCCATGGGTATTTTTTCTTGGGAAACTTACAATTTTTATCTGAATCTTTTATTTGTTTATAATTGCAATTTTTATCACGGTATCTTTTACAGCTCAAATATCACGATACGGGTAGAGAAAAGGATTGTCTACCCCAAGTTGGACAATGGAATATGATGAATAAGGTACTTTGTATATTCTTGAACTGCACATGCTGAAAATTTCATGATGAGTAATGCCAGTTAAATTTGAAATATTAATACGTTGTCTAATTATTTCAGAAAATGGTCAATGGGGGAACAGTTAACAATTGGTTCTGCATAAACTTTTCTAGGAATGTGCCAGACAAACTTGCACGTGACTTTTGTCATGAACTTGCCAAGATGTGTCAGATATCTGGCATGGTATGTATATGTTTGCCTGGGTGTCATTTTTACCCATTTTTTAGCATCTAAAACACAGTATTTTAACATTGATCCTGCATTCAGGCATTTAACCCTGATCCAGTAGTTCCTCCACTTAGTACTCGTCCTGACCAAGTAGAGAAGGTTCTCAAAACGCGTTATCATGATGTCAAGACCAAGCTGCGGGGAAAGGAACCCGACTTGCTCATTGTCATTTTGCCTGATAATAATGGTTCTCTTTATGGTAAATGATACTTTGACTTATGCTTCAAATTCTCCTCTGTAGTACTAACCGGGCCTGTGGATAGCATGCGACCTTAACATGTGATAATTTGATATGCAGGTGACCTCAAGCGTATTTGTGAGACTGACCTGGGGGTTGTTTCCCAGTGTTGTTTGACTAAACATGTTTTTAAGATGAGCAAGCAGTACCTTGCAAATGTTTCATTGAAAATTAATGTTAAAGTTGGGGGTAGGAATACCGTGCTTGTTGATGCACTTTCACATAGCATTCCTATAGTCGGTGAAAAACCTACTATCATTTTTGGAGCTGATGTGACTCATCCTCACCCTGGCGAGGATTCAAGTCCATCAATAGCAGCTGTATGTTTTTATATTTGAGTTGTTTTTAGTTTGAAGCAACTCAAGGATGAATATATATTTTTTTACTTTTCTCCATTTATTGTAGGTTGTTGCTTCTCAAGATTGGCCAGAAATCACCAAGTATGCTGGTTTGGTTTGTGCCCAAGCACATCGGCAAGAATTGATTCAAGACCTTTTCAAACAATGGCAAGATCCAGTCAGAGGAACAGTGACTGGTGGAATGATCAAGTACTGTCTTTAACTACCCATCTTATGCAGTCTTTTTAATCTAATGGACATATATAAGTTGCTTGCTGGATGCTGGTTTTTGAGTTTTCTTTTTTATTTCATTTGTTTTCTAGGGAACTTCTTATATCATTCCGCAGAGAAACTGGTCGAAGACCCCAGCGCATCATATTTTACAGGTAGTGTTATGTTAAGTGTTTGAGTTCATCTGAGTTTGATTTTAAGATAACTTTCTAACTCAAAGGTGTACTTGCAGAGATGGAGTTAGCGAAGGGCAATTTTACCAAGTCCTGCTATTTGAGCTTGATGCAATCCGGAAGGTAATCTTTTTGCGTGGCTGTTTCAGAAATTTCAATGAATAATTTATTCTTATTGTGCTTACTTTTTTCATCCTACCAGGCTTGTGCTTCACTTGAACCCAACTATCTGCCTACTGTGACTTTTGTGGTGGTTCAGAAACGTCATCATACTAGGCTCTTTGCCAATGACTCCCGTGACAAGAGTTCTGTTGATCGCAGTGGCAATATATTACCTGGTATTTAGTTTACTTTATATTATAAATGCTGTTGTAATGATTTTTATTTTATTCATTAGATTGATCCCGGGGCATTCTTCCTTGTAAATAATGCTGTAGGAACTGTTGTGGATTCTAAGATCTGCCATCCGACTGAGTTTGACTTTTATCTTTGTAGTCATGCCGGAATACAGGTAAACTTTTGCTTCTGTTGGTGTAATAATTTTAAGTTGGATTATTATTCTGCTCTTATGTTCAAGAGATTTTTGCAGGGTACTAGCCGTCCAGCTCATTATCATGTTTTGTGGGATGAAAATGAATTTACTGCTGATGAATTGCAAAGTTTAAGTAATAACTTGTGCTACACGTAAGTAACCAACTAGTAATGTGTTGGGGAATTGAATGTATGCTGCTTTGTGTTTTTGTTTCCTTCATTTTTTCAAATATGAAATTAAATCTGGGCTTGTTCTTATTATTTTCTGCAGATATGCTAGATGCACCCGTTCTGTTTCAATTGGTTAGTTTCTCTTAAGCCATATAATATGAAAAACTGAGTCGGTTCATAGTAAAATTGTGTTGCATGTTTTAACAGTTTTTGTTATGTAAAATAATTGCAGTGCCCCCTGCATATTATGCTCATTTGGCTGCATTCCGGGCAAGGTTCTATATGGAACCCGAGATTTCTGATGGCGGATCTATGCCAAGCGGAGCGGTTTCTCGTGGTGGAATGGCAGCTGCTGCTGGGCGTAGTTCACGTGCGCCGGGTGCTGCTTTTAGACCCCTGCCTGAATTGAAGGAGAATGTCAAGAGGGTCATGTTTTATTGCTGAGAGATAATATTTGATGTTTGTTGAAGGACTACCGAGATTGATCATATTTGAAGTTTGTTGGAGGAAGTATGAATACTGGTCTAGTCATTTTGAAAGTAATAATATATTGTGATAATATTGTTGAGTGTTTGTTTTGAACTATTTTGTGGAGTTTCATAAGCATCCGTTGTCATCTTCTGGTATTAGTGGTTGCTTCGAACGATTGTGTCGTTTTATCCAATTACCCGTTGTCCTGGATCATTCTTGATTCAAATTATGTTTGTTCTTGAATTGAAGACTATGTTTCATTATGTTAACAGTGTTTGGATTTATTTTGAAATTTGATGGTTTTGTTACTATCAATGTCTTTGTATGCTGCTTCATAATTTCTCTCAAAAATGAATGTTAGAGGCCTTACAAGATAAATAGTGATTGAATTAATCCATTGTATTTATGGCTGGCAATGAACCAAACCAACTCGAAGATAGTTCGGAATTCGACTCGACAATTAAATCGTTGAACTAGGTTCATGAACCAAATGAGTTGAGTATGAGCGAAAAATTAAGTTCGTTAACTAAATGAGCTGAACTTGAACTATACATAGTTCGACTCGTTAGGTTCATGAGTCAACTCGATTACATATGAAAAGAATTATACTGTCTTTAAGATTAGGTTTAAATATTTACTTCAAATCTTAGACAAATTTAATCTTCAATTTAGTAGTTTTTGAATTAGACTCTCATATGTATCTCTTGAAAGTTGTGTAGGTTTTGAATTAGTAGATTTCGAAGATAAAGTTAAATTTCAATATGATAACTTTTATTTTATTTTAATATTTTATTTAAAATATATTTATTTATTTAAAATGTCAAATATACTAAAAAATATATATATTTAAAAAAATAGTTTTTAAGTTCGTGAACCATGTGAGCTGAACCTAATGAGATGAACCTAACGAGTCGAACCGAACTGTTCGTGAACTTATAACGAGTCGAGTTTGAGCTTAAAAAAAAGTTCGTGTCGAACTCGAACTCGAATTCGAAAAATTTTAACGAGTCGAGCCGAGCTGAGGTGAGTTCGACTCGACTCGACTCATTTCCAGCCCTAATTGTATTCTAAGAAAGTGGTGCGTCACATTTGAGCATTTAATTTGACACCCTTTACTTGATCCTTATTTTGAACAAATTTACCTTTATATCCAAATTGAGTCTAAACCAAAAAAATTGGAAATTTAGTGTTTTTATGCAAAATTGGAATTTAGTGTTTTTATGCAAAATTGGAATTCTTTAGATCAACAACAACTCTGACTTGTTCTAATTGCCAAGAGGAGAACAGGTTAGCATTTGCTTTGATTTTTTGATTCACTGCATTGACGTCAACTTTTACTTCTGATAAAACTCGGTCAGTTGCATCCTCATCAATTATATTGTCAATCTCTTTAAAGTTTGTGCTAATGAATTTTGAAGTTTCGGCTTCGGTATGACTTTCACTTTCAGTGTCTATGTCCTCTCTTGCTCCTGAACTGAGGTAGGTAAAACAACCTAAACTAGATAAAGAATAAGAAGATATTGTTCATCTTTGCGTTTCATCAGAGTAAACTAATTGCCAATTTAGTGTGCAATGCATCAACTCGGTATGAACTCTACCTCATTTTCTAACTGCATCGGAAAAAAATACCTGGCGATTATGCACATATTGTAAGTAAGATGGCACATCAAGGTAGCAAAAGCGTTTTCTATCATGGATTGTCGGCGTTTTCTGAAAGCATATAATATCACCATTGTCTAACTGCATTCATGGAAAAACAAGTCAATAAAACTGATATTACATAAATTTAGTGTGCAATGCATCAACTCGGTATGAACTATACCTCATTTTCAAGAAATGTTAGTCTTATGTTAACCGGCTCACACATGACATTCGGTTGAAACATAATCTCCTGAACAACAGCAACAAAGGCGTAATCTAATCAACTTAGTAACACTATATAGTTCAAGTATGCATAACAAATTTAAATGAATCAGACAACACGAATCAACCTTGTAAAGTTCAATTTCTTCGTTAAGATCATAGAGCCTGTGATTACAGTTCACATAGAGCCTTCCAACATAACTGCCATAGAAAAAAAACAACAAACACATTTGATGTCAACTCTATGGTTCATCTTTTACCGCAATGTACAATAAATCACGAGAACCTATTCAGTACCGCATCTTCTCTTTTTCAGGATTATAGTTCGTCAACAATACTACTTAGAATGATGTTTCGTGCTATATCACAATATTGTATACAACTTCATAATATCATCGTTACTGGCGTGCGTTCCACTTCCAAAAACATTTTTATTTCAGATTTGTGAGCTTTGTTTAGCACTTTCAATTCTCCAACATACAATTTGAATCAGAATCAGAGAAAAAAAATGAACAACTTTAAAAATAGAGAAATTCGAAAAAACTATATCATAAAGTTTAAAGATATAAGAGATCAATTTACCGTTCCTTCTTCCTCAAATTGTGTCAATGGCCAATATGGACGACATGTGTTGTTTTGACTCTTTTGCCACCTAACAAATATTATATGTTACAATCTGATTGAACAATTAACAGCATGACACAAACAATACAAATTTCTAAGGAAGCAAACTCCGAGTACCTTTAGAATACTGCAGTTGTCCATTTCTTTATTTGGTATGTTGAAAACTAAAAAGAATGTAGCATTTTTTTGTTGTTAGAAATAAAATAAGATGAGAAATCAAAACATGTAAAAAGGAAAATGATTTGTCTGGAATGCTGAGAGGAGTGCAATATTGGAGAATTCTTCTATTTGTTTTTTTGATATGTTTATTTTTAGATTTGTTGTGGTTCTGTTTTTCTTTTTTTCTGGTATTTCGGATCTTACACGTTATTCGGATCTTAGTAAGTGTATTACATATTATTTTATACTTATTGTTAGTTTGAGTTTTAATGTTTTTAATTACACTCAATATTTAAATATATTTGTTGAAATGAGTTTATTAATTAACATCAATACATTGTTTTAATAAATATATTAACAATTTATATTTTCTATATATATATATATATATATATATATATATATATATATATATATATATATATATATATATATATATATATATATATATATATATATATATATATATATATATATATATATATATATATATATATATATATATATATATATATATATATATATATATATATATATATATATATATATATATATATATATATATATATTAACAATTTAAAAGTGAACATTCATCAATTTTATGCTACTAATAATTAATATGAGTCCTATTAAGTCGATTTAGTTGGTAGTTTTGCATTTACGACTTGTTAATACTGTTTAAGTTTTAAATTATTTAGAAAAATGAAATTGAATACATTATAAATAAGATGATGCATTGACATATTTTTTTAAAGTTTTGAATGAATATGTGATATATTTCTTAGTTGTGTAAGTGAGTATTTAATCTTTAAATGAATATTTAACCCAATATATTTTTCTTAAAAAGAGAGAGATAAGATTGAGATTAGAATTTTGATGTATGTAATGATACTAAAAAGGATGTTATAACTAATATGAATTAAATTTAAATTATTAAAAAATAAAAGTAATGATACTAAAGAAATAAGTTATAATTTATATGAATTACATTTAAAATATTAAAAATTGAATAGAAGTTCTAGGAAAATAAAATAAATTTTGAAAAATGGTAAGTTTTTAGAAAGGAATTGAACAGACTATTAAAGAATGACCATTCAAGAGAAAATGTTACATAAACTCTACCAAAATACTCAAGCCTGTTTCAATCTTCTGTGACACAACTATCATTTCTCCATCTATCATTGTTGCTCCTCCTGAGTTGATGATCTTTCCACTAGTCATGAGTTGTTCCAACCATCAACATCTAAATTTCAGTATGCTAAAATAAGGGGTTGGTTTATATCAAAATGAGAAAGTTCATAACATGGTTATCAAAATGAGTGTTAAATTAAATAGAATTCATAACATGGTTATGAAAATGAGATAGTCTCAGTTTTGTATCAAATCAAAATAAAGTGCTAAAAATCATGGAAAGCTAGTAGTAGGGTAAAGTGGCATAGAACTAAGTTGTATGTGGCCAAAAGACATAAATCAAAATGGCGGGACTGTCCTCAAGCTTATATAGAACTTCTCCTGACTTTTCGATGTAGTTAGGGCCTCTGAGATTGTATGTTCAATACTTTTCAATTTGATTTGATCATTTGCGAGACGATGGAAAGTTGATTTAACTTCTTTTTTGAAAAATGTGATATTATCCTTCTCTTGATCTTGAATCTCAGCCATTTTATCTCTGTCACCTTGTAGTTTTTCAAGTTTGGATTTAAGATCAGCAATTTGAGCATCAAGAGAGTCAAGCTGTGTTTGTTGGTTTGAGAAGGAAGTCTTTGAGTTCAATATTTTTTGTCTTGCATCCTTCAATGCTTCCTTATCTTTGTAATTGCTCTTCTTAGCCAAGTCTAGCTCTTTTGTTAAATTCTCATGTTTGTCATACATCCTCACAATGTTGTTGAGAAGGTTAGCGACAACACCAACTTGTTCTAATTGCCAAGACGAGAACATTTCCGCATTTGCGTCAATCCTTTCTTTGACTAAGTTAACATTCGGAGTGAAACCTTCTTTAAATTTTTCAATCAAGTCTTCTTTAAAGGCAATGTCTCTCAATTCTTGAAGAAGTTGCTTAGGGAGATCGGGATTCGGTTTCGAGACTTTTTGCCCCTGGAAACAATGTTGAGATTTTAATGAAATGGTAACCCCTTCCGATAAAACTCTATCGATGGCAGCAATGACATCCTCATTTATCATAACATCAGCTTCTTCCAAGTCTACGCTTACCAATTTTGAAGTGTCTGCTTTGGTAGAACTTTTATCATGAGTGGTCTCTATGTTCACTTTTGACTGTTGAGCTACAGTGGGTTGGTCGATATTCATTTCGTCTGTTATAATGTTTA